AGGGGCAAGTTTTAAATTGGATAAAATCATGGCTCACCGATAGAACGCAGAGGGTCAGCGTAGATGGTATTAAATCTGAGTGGGGCCGTGTAACCAGTGGGGTTCTCCAGGGGTCAGTACTAGGCCCACACTCTTGTTCATAATCTACATAAACGATCTAGATACTGGGATCAGTAGTGACATAAGCAAGTTTGCGGATGACACCAAAATAGGGCGGCAGATTAATTCAGGGCAGGATGCAAATGCATTACAGGAGGATCTAAATAAACTGCGGGGGTGGTCTGAAAAATGACAAATGAAATTCAACACCAGCAAGTGCAGCGTACTTAATATTGGAAGAACAAATACTTATAATGTATAGAGCCTTAACAACATCAACCTCGAGAATTCGACTTGTGAAAGAGACCTAGGGGTACTTGTAAACCCGGACCTACGGCCTAGAAAACAGTGCGTTTATGTTCGAAATAAGGCAAACAGAGTATTGGGTTTTATATCGAGAAGTGTAAGTAATAAGAGTGCAGAGGTCTTATTGCAACTATATCTTGCGCTAGTCAGGCCGCACCTCGATTATGCGGTTCAGTTCTGGTGCCCCTATTATAGAATGGATATAAATTCACTAGAGTCGGTGCAGCGAAGAATGACAAAAATGATTCTGGGACTTAGAAACCTTCCATATCTGGATAGGTTAAAGAAACTTAACTTGCATTCCCTAGAAAGACGAAGAGTGCGGGGAGATATGATAGAAGTATTTAAATGGGTGAAAGGAATCAATAAAGGGGATATAGATAAAGTTCTTATAATATCTGAGCAGGATAGGACTCGGAGCAACGGATTGAAGTTGGATAAGTTTAGGTTTAGGAGGGAGATAGGAAGAAACTGGTTCACAAATAGGGTGGTGGACGAGTGGAACAAGCTTAGCAACTTTGTAGTAAGTGAGGGAACTCTGGAAAGCTTCAAAAGGAGGCTGGATAGATTCATGGATGATGAGAGTGGTAGTAACTCGACAGGAGCTGCCATGCACAGGCCAACCGGCCTATTGCAGACTCCTTATTTTCTTATGTTCTTATGTATATAAAATGTTTGCCGACAGACAAACAAACAGTGCCATACAAGTACACACGGTAGAGTAAACAAATTCTTACCAATATTTGTGTGATACAATATGACACCACGGTCGAAGAATTTTGATAACCCTACCGACATAACACGAGCCATATCGTTCATTTCGAATTTCATTAGACCTATCCGGGAAGATACTGTTAGAAAACAAATATAAATACAGCATGAAAGAAAAAGGGTTCAGACGAAGAAAGAAAAAGGAAGAAGGGATGTGGAAGAGTAGGAATAATTAGTCCAGACAGGCAAGTGTTAAAAAGATAATGTAAGTACACGTGTCGTGTACGTTCCACGCTGACTCAGCAAAGTCAACCTATCCAGGACCTGTTTACGCCCACGTGTGGTATGGTGCGGTGAAGACACATGACGCAACAAGGGTCATCAGCACCCATACCAGCTGGACCCCACGGCCCTGAGAGGACTTATGAGCTTCGCAGATGCGCATGCACACACTCGACCTTAAGGTGAATGTACGTAAGACTCAGATTCTCTTTCAGCTTGCCCCTGGTTCAGCCACACCTCCACCATCCGTCCAACTTAACGGTACTACTCTCTCTCATGTTTCCCACTTCCAGTACTTTGGCCCCCACCTGTCCACCGCGAATATTGATGAAGAGATTCAACATAGGATCAGATGTGCATCTCAAGCCTTTAGCAGACTCCGTACCCGTACCCAACGTAGTCTGTGTTCCATCCTCCGAGTTCGCTGGGAAGACAAGAAAACAAATGCCAGTATTCTGGCTGATACCAACTGTAGGAGCATCGAGGCTACCATTACCCATGAACAACTACGGTGGACTTGGCCATGTTACCCCGCAAGGACGACAGTAGACTGCCAAAGCAGCTACTTTACATCCTTAATAACTCATTTCATTGTGTCATAGTTGGATGATCGATATACTCGATCCCGAGTGACAGCAAAGTAGTATGACCTTAAGTTCACCCCAGGAGGACCCCAGCACTCAAGGCGACCCTTGGAAAACTGTACTTATAATACACCAGGAGGACCTCAGCACCCAGAGACCTACCTCCTGATGGTATGTGACAAGGCAGGCAATGATTCCTCAGATCGAGTTGGTACTGAATAGACAAACAAGAGAAATGCGTCATGTGTACACCGGACTGAGTGACGAGGTTATATGGCAACATAGTCCCAAACTTTCGATTGGAGGATTATCAGGGGTTAAGAAGGTACCTAGGTGAGGTCGCCTGGGAACAGTCAGGTCAGTCCCCAGAAGGAACGGGTGAGGTCACAGGTGACAACAATTGATCATGACTATAATATATTCACTCGAACAAAATATACCATGCAGAAAAATTAGGTCAAATAAGAATGAGCCAAGGTGGATGACCAGAAAACTTAAACATGACAGAGGAATAAAGAAAGGAATTTATAAGAAATTAAAGGGAGGGGAGGAGCAGCTCAGAAACAGGTATAATGAACTATCTAGGAATGTTAAGAAAAATGTAAGGAGGGCAAAGAGGGACTACGAAATCAGGATAGCAAGGAGAGGTCAAAGGTGAAGGAAGGAGTGACCAGGAGGCGGTGACGCAACCTGGGTTTATCTCCTAACATGACGTCACTTATTGTTTACATTTTTTACCCGGGAGGAAGTTGCTCAAGGTAAACTTCTGTCATAATGCACTGAGCGTTATGCTAATAATGTTGGTAATAATAGTAATAATAGTAATAATAATAATAATAAAAATAATAATAATAGTCATAACAATAATAATGTTGGTAATAATAGTAATAATAATAATAATAATAATAATCATCGTTGATAATCCTTGAGTTGTAGAGATGTTATCGGAGGGGGGGGGGGTGTAATGAGAAACATGAGATGTGTGGATGATGTGGGGAGCTGTTTTCTGGGGGCGTTGGGACGTCATTAGAAAATAATGATCTCTTGGATGTGGAGATGTTGTGTTGTCTGCCATGAACTGTGAAGATAGTTTTTAAGGGACGAATAGTTCATGAAGTGTTGAGTTGTTTCGAGTATTTAGGATGTAGAGATGTTCTGAGTGTTATGTTAGGGTGTAGAGAATGTTCTGAGTGTTATGTTAGGGTGTAGAGAATGTTCTGAGTGTTATGCTAGGGTGTACAGTAGAGATGTTCTGAGTGTTATGCTAGGGTGTAGAGATGTTCTGAGTGTTATGCTAGGCTGTAGAGAATGTTCTGGGTGTTATGCTAGGGTGTAGAGATGTTCTGAGTGTTATGCTAGGGTGTAGAGATGTTCTGAGTGTTATGCTAGGGTGTAGAGAATGTTCTGAGTGTTATGCTAGGGTGTAGAGAGATGTTCTGAGTGTTATGCTAGGTGTAGAGAATGTTCTGAGTGTTATGCTAGGGTGTAGAGAATGTTCTGAGTGTTATGCTAGGGTGTAGAGAATGTTCTGAGTGTTATGCTAGGGTGTAGAGATGTTCTGAGTGTTATGCTAGGGTGTAGAGAATGTTCTGAGTGTTATGCTAGGGTGTAGAGAATGTTCTGAGTGTTATGCTAGGGTGTAGAGATGTTCTGAGTGTTATGCTAGGGTGTAGAGATGTTCTGAGTGTTATGCTAGGGTGTAGAGATGTTCTGAGTGTTATGCTAGGGTGTAGAGATGTTCTGAGTGTTATGCTAGGGTGTAGAGAATGTTCTGAGTGTTATGCTAGGGTGTAGAGATGTTCTGAGTGTTATGCTAGGGTGTAGAGAATGTTCTGAGTGTTATGCTAGGGTGTAGAGAATGTTCTGAGTGTTATGCTAGGGTGTAGAGAATGTTCTGAGTGTTATGCTAGGGTGTAGAGATGTGCTGAGTGTTATGCTAGGGTGTAGAGATGTTCTGAGTGTTCTGCTAGGGTGTAGAGAATGTTCTGGAGTGTTATGCTAGGGTGTGAGAATATTCTGAGTGTTATGCTAGGGTGTAGAGATGTTCTGAGGTGTTATGCTAGGGGTGTAGAGAATGTTCTGAGTGTTATGCTAGGCTGTAGAGATGTTCTGAGTGTTATGCTAGGGTGTAGAGAATATTCTGGTGTTATGCTAGGGTGTAGACATGTTCTGAGGTGTTATGCTAGGGTGTAAGAATGTTCTGAGTGTTCTGGGGTGTAGAGAATATTCTGAGTGTTATGCTGGGGTGTAGAGAATATTCTGGGTGTTATGCTAGGGTGTAGACATGTTCTGAGTGTTATGCTAGGGTGTAGAGAATGTTCTGGAGTGTTCTGCTAGGGTGTAGAGAATGTTCTGGGTGTTATGCTAGGGTGTAGAGAATATTCTGAGTGTTATGCTAGGGTGTAGAGATGTTCTGAGTGTTATGCTAGGGTGTAGAGAATGTTCTGAGTGTTATGCTAGGCGTAGAGATGTTCTGAGTGTTATGCTAGGGGTGTAGAGAATATTCCTCTGAGTGTTATGCTAGGGGTGTAGAGAATGTCCTGAGTGTTATGCTAGGGGTGTAGAGAATGTTCTGAGTGGTTATGCTAGGGTGTAGAGAATATTCTGAGGTTATGCTAGGGTGTAGGGAGAATGTCCTGAGGTTATGCTAGGGTGTAGAGAATATTCTGAGTGTTATGCTAGGGGTGTAGAGAATGTTCTGAGGTTATGCTAGGGTGGAGAATGTTCCTGAGTGTTAAGTGCTAGCTGTAGAGAGAATGTTCTGGGTGTTATGCTAGGGCTGTAGACATGTTCTGGAGTGTTAAGTGCTAGGGTGTAGAGAATGTTCTGAGGTTATGCTAGGGTGTAGAGAATGTCTCGAGTGTTATGTGCTAGGGGTGTAGGAGATGTTCTGAGTGTTATGCTAGGGTGTAGAGATGTTCCAGTGTTATGCTATGGTGTAGAGATGTTCTGAGTGTTATGCTACGGTGTGAGAATGTTCTGAGTGTTATGCTAGGGTGAGATGTTCTGAGTGTTATGCTAGGGTGTAGAGAATGTCCTGAGTGTTATGCTAGGGTGTAGAGATGTTCTGAGTGTTATGCTAGGGTGTAGAGATGTTCTGGAGGTTATGCTAGGCATAGAGAATGTTCTGTGTTATGCTAGGGTGTAGAAAATGTTCTGGAGTGTTGGTGCTAGGGGTGTAGAGAATGTTCTGCTAGGGTGTAGAGAATGTTCTGGAGTTCTGCTAGGGTGAGAATGTCCTGAGTGTTATGCTAGTGTAGAGATGTTCTGAGGTGTTATGCTAGGGTGTAGAGATGTTCTGAGTGTTATGCTAGGGTGTAGAGAATGTCCTGAGGTTATGCTAGTGTAGAGATGCCTGAGTAAGTTATGCTAGGTGTAGAGAATGTTCTGAGTGTTATGCTAGGGTGTAGAGAGAATGTCCTGAGTGTTATAGGGTGCAGAGATGTTCTGAGTGTTGTTAGTGTAGAGATGTTCTTGGAGGTTATGTTAGGGTGTAGAGATGTTCTGATGTTATGCTAGGGTGTAGAGAATGTCCTGAGTGTTATGTTAGGGTGTAGAGATGTTCTGGAGTGTTATGCTAGGGTGTAGAGATGTTCAGTGTTCTGCTAGGTGTAGATGTTCTGAGTGTTAAGTGCTAGGGTGCAGAGAATGTCCTGAGTGTTATGCTGGGGTGTAGAGATGTTCTGGAGGTTATGCTAGGGTGTAGAGATGTTCTGAGTGTTGGTGTTAGGTGTAGAGATGTTCTGAGTACATGCTAGGGGTGTAGAGAATGTCCTGGAGGTTATGCTAGGGTGTAGAGACGCTGTTCTCAGTGTTCTGCTAGGGGTGTAGAGAATGTTCTGAGTGTTATGCTAGGGTGTAGAGATGTTCTGAGTGTTATGCTAGGGTGTAGAGATGTTCTGAGTAAGCGTTAGGGGTGAGATGTTCTGAGTGTTATGCTAGGGGTGTAGAGAATGTTCTGGAGTGTTATGCTAGGGTGTAGAGATGTTCTGAGTGTTATGCTAGGGTGTAGAGATGTTCCTGGAGTGTTATGCTAGGGTGTAGAGATGTTCTGAGTGTTGTTAGGGGTGTAGAGATGTTCTCAGTGTCTGCTAGGGTATAGAGAATGTTCTGGAGGTTATGCTAGTGTAGAGAATGTCCTGAGTGTTATGCTAGGTGTAGAGATGTTCTGAGTGTTATGCTAGGGTGTAGAGAATGTCGTCCTGAGTGTTATGCTAGGTGTAGAGAATGTTCTGAGTAAGCTATGCTAGGTGTAGAGAATGTCCTGGAGTGTTATGCTAGGGTGTAGAGATGTTCTTGAGTGTTATGTGCTAGGGTGTAGAGAATGTCCTGAGGTTATGCTGGGGTGTAGGAGAATGTCCTGAGTGTTATGCTAGTGTAGAGATGTCTTGAGTGCTATGCTAGGCAGAGATGTTCTCAGTGTTCTCAGGGTATAGAGAGAATGTTCTGAGTGTTATGCTAGGGGTGTAGAGAATTTGGAGTGTTATGCTAGGGTGTAGAGATGTTCTGAGTGTTATGCTAGGGGTGTAGAGAATGTCCTGAGTGTTATGCTAGGGGTGTAGAGAATGTTCTGAGTGTTATGCTAGGGTGTAGAGAATGTCCTGAGTGTTATGCTAGGGTGTAGAGATGTTCTTGAGTGTTATGCTAGGGTGTGGAGAATGTCCTGGAGGTTATGCTAGGGGTAGAGAATGTTCTGGGTGTTAGCGCTAGGGTGTAGAGAATGGTCCTGAGTTATGCTAGGGTGTAGAGATGTTCTGAGTGTTATGCTAGGTGTAGAG